TTCGAGTACAATCATAACATCCAAAATATATTTCTACTCGTTTCTGTCTTTCATGAATGTTACTAACCCTAAATAACATTTCATGCTTTGAGGGTGAACGATATTTACATAACTCTACCTCTCCTCTCTGTGGCATGTTCAGTAGTTCGGATCATAAAGCTGGACGTAACCAAAGAGGAATTGCTGAATATTCAGAACTGAATGAGTAGATTACTCTTGAAACTAGGATGGGACAAAAGGAGATTGATATATTGGAGCCCCTCTCGTAATTGATTAATTGATTAGGTGTTAATTGATCGATTCACATGACTGACTGACTGACCACAATGACTGACTGAAAACAGAATTACTGACTGAATGACTGACTGAATACAGACTGACTGACTGACTGCTTTACTAACTGAAAACAGAATGACTGACTTACTGAATACAGAATGGCTGACTTACTGAATACAGAATGACTGATTAATGGACTGTCTGAATGAGTGGTTGATTAATTCTCTCCTTTCATTCATGTGTTCCTTCATTCATTTGTTTTGTTGTTATTTTTTTTGTAGTTTGGATCCAAACCCAATGACTGTTTGAACCCTGATGCTCAAGGTATTAATGAGAACTGTAGAAGGGTCCAGTATGCATTCTTTGAGTGCAAGAGGTCACTGGTAAGGATGTTATTTTGGAACCTTTTTCAACTGTTTTTCCTTAACAACTCAGTCTCCTCTTGTTGAAAGGAGATTACATATCAGCTGTCAGTGTCTGTTCTGGCAAAGATCACTGATTACATTTATATATGGTAAATGGTAAAACAACCTGGTATTACTCTGTGGTATAATAGGTTGTTTGAGGAGGACTCTCTACTGGAGAATTGTGTCAAATTCCCAGGTCTTGTACCAGACTCCCTCTCCTGAATGGAACACAATTTAAATTTTGGAACACTGTTACCATTACTGTCTGAAAGCTGATCCTTTTAACTGTTGACTAGAAATATATTTTCTTTTTTAGTACTTGAAGCTTGTTAACAACAATATTCCCTTTACAGAGGTGTAGCAATTATTTTTCTAGGGGTTGAGTACCTACCTAACCGACAAATCAACATCTACCGGTAAACTGTGTTTTTAATCACAAAATGTAAAATTTTGCATCACCGTTTTTCTTCTGTTTTGTGCTTTTCTGCCACCCAAATCATAAAGTTTGATTGTTTCAGAGTTTTTTTGAAAATAACCTTTTAATGGAGTTTCATGGCCACCCCAGCTCCCCCTTTCCACCCTTGGTGTGCCCCCCCCTGCAGTAGGATAATTTTCTGAGGTCTCATTACCTATCTGCCTGTCATTGTATTAACCCTTTAACTCTCATGAATGACCAAAACAGAATTTCTCCTTACAATATCAATACAATATTAACCAGATAAGTGATGAGAATAAAGAAAAATATCAATTTGGGGATAATTAGTTGATCCAATACTAACCTCTCTGAACTAACATTATGAGAATTGTAAGGTTGACAGCAAGGAGAATTACAAATTTGATCTGGGAGTTAAAGGGTTAAAAGGGTTTAAGAGAATGCATCAAAGGATCAGTTTTTGGAGGGAAAGGGAAAGATGTGGTTGGACTGACAAACTTCTTATTTTTTATTTGTTGACAGTTAGATTTTCGCACCCGTTTCAGGGGAAGAAAAGGATACTGATGAAGGAACACAGGAATGTTGTGTTTAGTGGATTGGACAATCAATAAATGCTACCTCACAGAGAATGTAAATACTCAAAGAATCGTGATTGAAACATCTTGAAATGTGTTTTTTCCCAAAGCTATAAATTTTTTGAGGGAAAAATGCTGAAAAAATGAGCAGTTATTTTCGTAATAAAAAAGTCTTCTTTTGAAAATAAAGACGAGCATATAGTATCACCAATGAATAAAGGGGTAAGTTCCCGAGAGAATCTGTGGTGCCACGTTGATGGGGGAGTCTAGCAGGGTAATTGCTACGTTGATGGGGGAGTCTAGCAGGGTAATTTGGTTTTATCAACTGTGCTGATGATGTAAATTGGCCACCGTAAAGAGTTTCCAACCTGACGTTTCGAGCGTTAGCCGTTCGTCGAGCGAATCACAATACATTATAAACTTAGTTTATAAAACCAAATTATATATAGTATCAACAGTTGATATCCTGTATATGTTCTTGTTTCGCCGATATTGCATAAGCTGGTACCAGGCTCTCTTGGTTAGAGGAGACGAACGAAATAACAAGCGAATGGAACTTAGTATTTGTCGGGTGAAACGGCAGCAGATTTTCTTTCTCTTTGTTTTTTATACCTCCAAAACTTCCGCCGTTTTGCGCCCACGTGCTGTCTCGCTCGTCTCTACTGACCGATGCCCTGCCAATGGCTGATATTCCGAGGATTTATTCTGTTCATGCCAGAATTCAGGAACGATAAACTTTATCGATGGTTACTGCTGGAAAACTCTGAAAAAAAAATCATAGAGCCTTAGGTCAGTTAGACGAAAATGATTCGTCATTTCTCAGCGTAAGATGTTTCGCGCGTTTACAGAAATCGGCTAAAGAACAAATGTTGTGACGCTCGCGTTCCAAAGTTAACACGGCAGTCCACAGCACCGAAATGAATACGATGAGAAAGGTGGTACATTTTTTAGCTCGATAATGAACTAAAGAAAGGCGTTATTCTTCTCATCCCGTACACCTGACATACAAAATTCTAAGTCTCTCTCGAAGAAACGAGTCTCAGACCTTCGGTTTTGGCCCTTCGATGCTTTGCTAATGATTCGTTACTCTTGGGTTCAAACCATTTCTTGTTAATATTCCAATTAGTACGCCGTAAGATCTAATTTTTGATTAGCTTATCCAAGCACTTCAGATTCTTCTTCTGTTGAAATGTAGGTTACCAACATTCTCTCCGACTCTCTCGGCGTAATTCCGACATGAAACTGGATACTAATCAGTGGAAAACACCTCGGTGCAGTAAAGAAAGATGTTGTTCGCATCTCCTCTTTCTCCCGCCCTCGTAACAACACGAATGACATTTCCCTTTGTTTCATTACCGAGCTCAAAAATTTGTCATCTTTCTTTTGCTAGTTACCCACACGACGCTTTCAATGTTTCAGATCCTAGCAATATACAGGTCGCGTCTTACACAATAACTCAGTCATGGCCTAGCTCCTCACGAGAGTTCGCCGTAACTCATCGTACAGTCTGATTTCCCGGTTGTGATCGGTGCTGGAAAAGACTGTTGTCTGTAAAAGTGACTGACGTTTCAGCAGCCTAAGCAGAAGTTATCATTAGGGTCAAGTGAGGAGTTCTTTGTTAGTAGAGCACAACTCAGGTTTGGTCAGTCAATGCAGCTGATATCAACCCTTTCGAGGACTTTTCTCTTCCGCGGACGATCAGACTACTCAATCAACATTTAGTAGTTTTTAGCAAGTTTTAAAAAGCATGCTGAAAGAAGAATAATTTAAAGTAAATCCTTCAGGAGTGGAACCAAATAAAAAGTGAACGGCCGAGTCAGTAGAGCGATTATTTTTTTTTTAAACGCTTTCCTAGCGCTTGGCCTTTCCATATTCTCTTTATTTGCCTGTCGTAATTCATGAGTATTCCCACCCTCCAAAAGGTATGATTATTCTTTTTTGGAAACTGAATCTAGAAAGGAAAAACCCAATATTTATTTGTCTTAAGTTTTTTTTTTCTTCCTCTTTGCGCTAAAATACTAACTCGTCCGAAGGTCATGTGCCATTTCTGATCAAGTTTAAAGCTCATTTGATAATTACTGAATTTTCGCCCATTCGAAGCGCCTTTTGTGTTCGTTGTTTGAGGAAGAGTCAGTTTCATTTGTAGAGCAATTCAAGGACGCGCTTTGTGGGCAGTTGTGGGTTGAAAATTCATGCCTTTCATATCTGTCCACACTTCTGTAATATTTGCAGAACTCTCGCTTGTAAACTTTTACGGAGAGATGTTTCCAAATCTGTCAGGTTTTCTGCCTTGATACATCAGAAAATAGAATCATCCCTTTGAAGAAGCTTTAGAACGACGCAGAAAAACTCAGGCTTCTTGTGAAGTACCGCAAGAGTGAATTTATGAGTATTTTCAAAGAAAGTCATTTTCAAAACAGCAGTGGCGAGAAATAGGAGACTTTACATCATGCTACCATATGCATTTTAACGAATTCACCTCGATAACCATATTTTTACACCTTGAATCGAAACAAATTTTAATTTGGTTCTGTCGTCCATTCAGAGAAATAATAAAAAGTTAGCCTTGAGTCGCAAGGTATAAAAAAATGCCACAGATGTATTAAATATATTGTTATTCCTCTTTTGTTCCTATCAAACAATTAACGAAGCAGGTATCTTTTTTTTTTTCAAAGCTCAAGCTGGTTTTGTGAAAAGGTCATTTCTCTCGACCAATTGTAATTCAAATGCAATTTTACGTGACAAAATTGGCCAAAATCGACCAATGCGTATTTCACACATGGCAAAGTTAATATTAAGATATTTTCTGTGTTAAAAAAAATTGTGAAAGCGACCGACCAGAAAGTCCGTCGTTCAGTCTCCTTGTTTTAATAGATTTCGAGCCTCGTACGTGATAAAAAAAAGTTGTGAAGTGTTTACGAAGGTTAGAAAAGCACACTTCTTGGTCTTACATCATTCAACATTGTTCAAAATCTTCGAC